AAACAAAAAAGGACGGTAAAAGAACACGTTCGAGCCTCCTGCATCGACATCGAAGCCAGTTCCAGAAAAGCGTAAGAACACAACCCCGGGCGACGGCCGGCCTGCCACGCGTAGAAAAACGCTGGAAGCCAAGGATAACTCGGCGCCAGAAGCGATTAGTGCCGTGGAGTTGTCCCCGGACGTCGAAGAGGACGATGAGGAAGCTGATGTAAGGGCTGTGCGTCGCCAAAACCGCGCATTTGAAGATGGCCTCAGAGTCGGCGGTAGGGATGGCGTAGGTGCAAATGCACCAATCGGGGGTACGGTAGCATATATGGCTCCGTTTCACGCGGAGGATGAAGGCCGAGGGCGTGCCTCTACAGCTTTTCGGCCAACAGCAATCGAGCAAGGAATACACAACGCCATAGGACATCCTGATCACCAAGGTAAGGACGGTCAATGTATTCTTGAATGTGCCCAACAGGCTCGAGGAACACACTTCCAAGCGACGCCACCTGTACTGCGTGGCGCCTTTGACTTTGGATTCTACATTAGGGGTCTCTCTGTGATGCATTTCACAAGTATACTGAGGAGGTCAACGCTCAGTATGGCAGCAAACATGGTGAACATGACGGACTTCTCGAGAAAGAACACCCTTTTACCCGTCACGACAGAACCAGTTTATACTGGTCTCACTGACATTTTAAGCAACCTGTGCCAATTTGGCCGCCACTTCTACAACGACGAAACTGTGAGCGTCCTGAGGGCTGCCGCCACCTTTGTCGAAGACTTCGCGGATGGAAGCGAGCCTGACCAAGATACTACTATACGCCTAATGCAGTGGATAGACAGGAAGCTGGGCAAATTTCGTGGATTAGTCGTCTCTGATGGGCATGACGCAGCAGTCCATGTGAAAAGAGAATTCTGCATTCAAGATTCTCTACTATCAGAGTTTTTATTTGACCTTCAACAAGCCAAAATTGCAGAGCTCACAGCCATGATCAACGCTAGACGATCCCCTGGAAGCCAAAGCAGCAGTCGAGAGAAGCACGGCAGCACTGGGGAGACTCGCCAAACCAAGAACGCTGGAGGCGTTCCAGCGAGCGTGCAGCGAACTCTCCCTAAACAAGGGTCGCAGGAGCTGTGCCTGAAGTTTCTCTCGAAGGTGGGATGCCGCGGGAAAGATGGACCCGGCAAGTGTTTCTCCAAGCTGCGTGTCCATTTTCGTCCCAGCAGTCTCTCCCAGGAGGCAAAGGAGCTCATCGTACAGCGCTGGGGAGGCCTTGCTGCTGAATTTACCGACCTATGGCAGCAAGGGATCCCAGTTTAAATTTCAAAATATTCTCCAACAAGCCATCGTGAGGTTAGTTCTCAAACGTCTGAATGTGCCTTGCGCGATTAACTATCCGCAGAACACCTCAAATACATGACTACGTTGGAGCAATTGAGTGAACATTGTCGAACTGGGATCGAGCAAGACTTAATTGCAGTTGCAGCGACATTTGGCATCGCAGCACCCCTCAAACGCACAGAGCAGCATGGCAGCCTGATTGACGAGGAGATGGTCAACTTCCACTCCTCGCTTGCAATAGCCTCCGGGAAACCACTTGCAAATTTTGTACGTCTTGTACGTGGCCAGACCGCAGCAGACCCTCGCCCAAATAAAGATATGTACGAGCTCCCACGACCAAAAGATCCGGCTTTGCATGAGGCGTGGGGTCGCTGGAATGACGTCGTCCAAAATGGAGCCTCTCCAGAGTGGCTACCGAACCGGCCACCGCGACAGACCTCCAGACCGCGGAACCACGGGCCAATTTACAAACCCCTCCCTCAAGTATGACGGCATATTCGCAAAGGTACCAAGACGGCTGCTACATCGTTGTCCGCGCGTCTCTTTTGGAAAAATGGCAGGAAGAATACATTTCTGTAGTGGGTGTGGTTGATAAGGACGGCACTGACATTCGGATCATCGACGACTATTCCTTTCCCGACGGTGCATCGATTAACGACTTTACAGACCGCTCCAACCTACCGGTGATCTCGTACAGCCCGCCAGGCGACATTGCCCGTCGAATTTTCGAGTTACGCAGACAGTATTCGAACGTTCGGATTCTGATATTGCTAGGCGATGTCTCGGGTGCCTTTAGGCACGTGCCTATCTGCGCCGACCACGCGCACATGTTTGCATTCGTCATCGATGGCTAGCGTGTGGGTTCGGCTGGTGTGGCTCACTGGCGTGGTATTTCCTACCGGGGACCCTTATGAATGGCCTTTACGAGCAGACGCCATGCTGGACACCGGCGAATTTACGAACTCTAAAAGGACTGTTCTGGTGCGATGACCACACATGCATTGAGCCGGAGGACGAACTCCGTTGTTTCCGTGCAAATCTGGTTCTACGTAGAGCAATGACCACGGTTCTAGGTCCTTCCGCTATCAACAAGCGCACATTTACAGAATGGAGTGAGTGCGGCAAGGCGCTTGATCTCATTTGTGATACACGTAATGGGACAGTTACCATCCCAAAGGAGAAGATTATGAAGGCGGAACTCCGAGTTAGCACGATGCTTTCCTGCGGAACAGCAACGAAGACACAACTACTGCAGTTGCTAGGCTCTCTCCGGCATGTGACGACTTGTTGCACGCCGGCGAGGGCGTTTTACCAGCGCCTTCAATCTGCTGCGACAACTACACCGAGATACAAGCGCCTCCGACTGTCGGAAGAAGCGGTTGAAGATCTTAAGTGGTTTCGTTACATCCTGCAGCACCACGAGCGTTTCAATGGAATTCCGGTGGCGCAGTTT